TCACATTCCACAATGCTTTTCTGGAAGATCCAGAAGAAAATATTAATCACATTTCCCTTTTGCAACAGGAGAATTCCAAACCACTATTAAAGGTAAGGGTTTGCTTACTTTCACTAATACTATCCATTGCTGTTTTGTATTTTCTCTGCTGCTTCTTCCTTAGTGTTTGTCATAGGGGAGGGCAACCTTCACCGATTAGATGCCCTTCTGTAGTGTTGGACTAAAAATCCCATACATTCCTATCAGTAGGACTATTGGCCATGCTGACTGTCAGGCTGTGGGAGTTATAGTCCAGCATATGTTAAGGACACTAAATTGAGAGGCCTAATTTGCTTTTTTACCCATCTGAATGTATGTTTGGTCAAAGAAAAAAAATGGAGTTTCATTTTCTTATTGTTTTACTAGAGTTTAAATGGAGTTGATCTGTCTGGAACACTGCCTGTGTCTGATAATAGCTCTGGAAATCAAGTTTATTTTCCACTTAGAGGCTATTAGAGTAAGCAATTCTGCACTTGAATGTTGTATATGGTTTCTTGGTCTATTCTGAAGCAGATTAAAGATCAGGATTCCATCTTCCATTCAAAATATTAGAGTCCGCTGCTCATTCTAGCCATATTTGTCTGCAAAATTAGTGGATTCTCATACCCTGAAGCATTTTACCAATGCAAACCAGAGTCCTTTTGTATATCTGTAAAACAGCTACATGCAAGAGGATGCCTTGTTGCTCAAGTACTTGGCTTTACCTGAATATGTAATCACAGCCAGATACTGATATTTGAAGAATGAAGCTAAAACCCCACAGACAGCAGTCTGGTAAGCTAGCACAGCAACAAATTCTTTAAAGGGCATCTCCAAAATACTTGCAGAAGATGAAATATGAATAAAGATTTATGCTGGATGGAATCTTCATTGGTAGAGGTATCTGAATAATGAATCTTTAAGGACAGCAAGAAGGCTGCATTATAATTGGTCATGCAGAAAAGTAACTGTGGTCTTACTTCTTGAAAGAAGGCCAGTTCCCACCAAAGACGGCTCTCTGCAGATGTGCTCTCTCAAGTAAGTGCAGACTTGGAATTGCTCCTAGATGTATTTCAATAGGTTCACTATGAGAGATGTCCTTTGTGTTGGGCTACTGATGTAATGATGTCATTAATAAACCCTTTGATGATGCTTGAAAAGGAGGGACTATCCTTATTGGTGGATAAAACCCTCCATCACTGGGGACAATCAGAGCATTATAACTTAACAGCACTGTTCATTAGCAATTATTTATTCAGATGCTTAAAAGTTTCTTCAAACAGATAAAAAGTTGTTTTTTGATGCCTGAAATATAGCAAAGTTACTGTAAAACTGCAATGTGGAGGAGCAGTCTTCCTTATGAAGGCAGTTACACGTTCTTAACAGTATAACTCTTGAAATGTTTATATGAAAATACATTTCTTTACATTTGGTGGAACTTCTTTCCAAATAAATGCATATAGAATTGCAGCTCTGAGTTTGCCCAAACATTGAGAAATAAGTCTGATTTTGGGGCTCACATCTTTACGCTCATGGGTACCAGCACGCTCCCTTAATGCCTGACAGCTCCCTTGCCCCACTTAGGTTTTTAGTTTGTGACTGGACACATCCACTCTACAGTCATTTTATGGGTAAGCAAGCCTCAGCCTCACTCATATTATGCTCTGAACCTGACAAATATGCCTACCAGTCTAAAAGGTCAGAGATCCTAATTCTAACTGAGCACCATAAGAGTGAGTAAATAGATGAAGGATCAGTTACTGTAGTGTGGATGAAGTCTAAAAACAGAAATTGTTTTCCTACCAGAGAGTAAAGCTAAGGTGAGACACTCATCCATTGCTGGAAATATACTAAAAGGTGACTTCACAAAGTGCTTGAAACTGTAATATGGATAGATTGGTCTGGTTCTGGTTTAGCATATAATATGAACAATTGTGGTTTGCAAATCACGGCTAATGGTTTAATCAGGTTTATTTAACAAACCATGCTTAAGCAAATGATTGCTTAGCAGTCTATCGAACCCAGCCCATAAAATCTGTGTTGCACCTTTGGCTAAGTAGGCATTATGGCTATAAGCTACTTTTAACATTCGAGGCAACATGCTTCTGGATACCAGTTGCTGGAAAACACAAGCAAGAATCAATGCCCCCGTTTTAGGGCAGCTGGTTCACCACTAAGGAAAACAGTTATACTGAACTAGATGTAGTGACCTAGCCATGGTCATTATTTGTTTTTATACATGTAGCTTTGCTGGGATATAAGCATGTGTTGTTTATTTTAATCTCATAATTTTCTCTCCATGCCTAACCTTAGTTAAATCCTTCCAAACTAGTTCCTAATCAGTTTCAGCATACTGTGTCTGAAGTAAAATACAAAGCAAACAAACTGTAAATGAAAAGCAGAAGCTATTAATTGAAAATCACATCAGCTCACTTCCTCTGTTCCTTTGTTTGCTTGTTGGCAAAATTATCATTACAACGGGGAAATGTGTTGTTGGGAGGAAACAGCTGGGGAAGAACAAAACCACAAAGGGCTTGACTCACTTGGGGTTTTAGTGTAAATCTGCTGGTAACTGCTCTTGTCAAGAAGCACTGGGGAAGAACATGATTGACTAAGTGGGAGAAACCAGCTGTTCTACTTGAACTGGGCACTTAGGAAACAGTGTGGGGTGGTTTCCTTTTGGAACATTGTCCTGCTATTCTGCAGCAAAGAGAGAAAGTAAAGTGTGTGTAGCTAGTTTATGGCCCAGCTGCTTGTCGAGAACCCACCCAGTATGATTAGTTTATGGTTCAAATAGGTTGAATGAACAACAACTGGATATAAATCAATTGGCGGGGTGACAATACTTATCTTGGGGGGGAGCCTTCTAGTACCAACATTTATACCACATTTGGAATATATATGTGAAAAAAGAAAATATACAGTATATATTGCCGTTTTTTCTTCAGATCTACACTGTTAATCATTGTACTAAATCTGGACATGACTATAGGTCTTCAAATCTAGAGTTTCCAGAGAATGCCAGGTAACTGGTTTTTACCTTGCCTGATCTCCTCACCCCCACATCTATGCATGTGTCTATTGTGACATAGCAGAGTAGTAAACCTCTATTCAAATGTCTTTCCATGTCGTCATGACTAGGGTGGCCTAGTGATAAACCTGTTTGTGTGCAAGAAAGACAACGTGTTCTTCCCCAGTGCTTCTGACAAGGAATGTGGGTACTATATCTGCTCTGATTTCAGATGGAAATAAAATGTGCAATTGAGGAATCCCTCCCATAAAAATCACCCCATCTCAGTATGCGATAGGAAGGCCATGAGATGGTGGCAGAATGCTAGTAACCTTATGCATTTCAAAGGAAAATTGCCTTTTCTTTGGTAAGGAATATGGGTTGAAGAACCATCATGCTGGAAATGGATAACACTGACATCATCAAATTGGCCTGCAAATAGCATTTTAACAAACTAAAAATGATCTCTGGAAGGACTCAAAGCATTGGTATCTTGGATGATTTGGCATTTTTCTAGTGTCTGCTGCCAGAGCATCTGGTATTTATTTGGGAATAGCATCCATCGAGTTTAATGTGTTGTGGGAACACTGCCACTGAGCCATAAATCAGCCAACCACATTTTAGTTTAGCTTAAGATGGACACCCAGCCTGAATATGAACATATGGGGTTGTCTAGTCAATTGAGAATGCATGGTATTAACATACTCACTCTACCCAGCCAACTTTGGCTGATTTCAGAAAGCTATGCAGGGTTGGCTGTAGACACTACTTGAAAGGAAGACAACCAGGAAATCCCAGGGCCGGAGACCAGACTAGGAAATAATCATAATAATAAAGTTACAGAAGAGAGCATCAGCAAACCACTACCATATATCTTGTTGCCAAGAAAATTACATGGATGTGGTTGCTAGTAGAAAACAATGTGATGGCACATAATCAAAAAGGTGTGAAGTTAGTAGAAACTGAGATCAACTTGAAGGAACCTTGACTTTATTTTACTAGCAGTTCATCTGTGTATAGCATCACCAGTTAACATTAGAGTAAGTCATATATCCCTCCCCAACACAAGGGGGGGGGGTAGACCTCAAGATTAGCTATGTCCCTCCGCCACCATCCATGGTAGAAATGCTGCTTCTTCCCTGGCAGGCTCAGATGACTAGGGGACCTCTGTAGAATTCCACAGGTTGAGGAGGAACTCTGGCAATATCATTGGTAGGTCTGGAAAAGCATTTCCGCTACAAGAATTGGTGACACCATGTGCTACTATGGGGCTACTATGGATAGCCAGTGATCCTCCTTGCACATATTTCAGTGCATGCAGTTGTCCTATGCAAGTTAATCCCTTTTGCCCGTCGCCGTGCTCCTGAGGAGCAGCCGCCTCTGGCCTCAACCCCTCTCTTCTCCTCAGCAGCTCCACAGAGTCAAGAGATGATTAACTGGTTGGGTTCCTCTTACCCCTATTGGTGTATCCTATGGGTCACATGTCAATTGATCCTGCAAGGAGCTCAGCTGTCCTACAGGCGCTGAAGAGTAAACGGCCCCCTTTTCTTCAGCCGAGGATGCTCCGTCTTTCTCTGAAGCGACGCCGCCGAGGTCCACCAGCCTTGCGAAGAAACAGGCGGGGCAGTATGGTTTCTCCGTGGCCTTTGAGCGCTCAGAAGAGAAAGGCGAAGCGGCTGGGGGTGGAGCGAGAAAGCCAGCGGCTGCCCTGAAGGGCCAGCGGGGAGAGGTGCTGTCACACCGAGGAAAGCCAGAGGGAGCCACCTGCCCGCCGGATTTCCAGGCAGTGAAGGAATCTGTTCGTTGGAGGGGGAGTGGGGGAGAGAGAGCGGGGGGAGACCTTGCGCAGACTTCTGCTTTTCGCTCCATTGTCGAGCCGGCTTCTTGCACTGGACCGCCTTGAAGGCAGCGAAGTCCCAGGAAGGCTGCCTTTCCTGCGGGGGATTTGTTTCTGGAGCTTCTTCAGCCGCTTCCGTGTGGGGCGCCTCTTGGCTTTGCTGGAGGGAGCCCCGGCGAGTCAGCGAGCGAGCGCGCCCGACTGGGGAGCTGGGGCTGAAAGGTAAAATCTGTAGTGCTTTTACCACCCGCACACTTCGATTCGCCCAAGCACTACGCTTGGAGCTAGAGTAGATGAGCCTCTGCGCGCGGCTGATTCTCAGTCCTGCTTTTGTTAGCGAAGTTGGGAGCGTTCGGGTTGGTCTTCCCTTTGCGTGTCTTACGGCTCAGCGCGTTCAAGATACTCTTTTGTAATTGTCGCTGCTGCTGCTGCTGCTGCTGCTGCTGAAAGCAGCTGCAAGAAAAAAAAATTATTCGGTAGTTGATTTGTTTTTACAAAGGGCTTCTTTCCTTTTGTAACAACGTTATGATTGCACCCACGGTTTTTGTACTGTTCACACGTTATCACTTTGTCGTTCCTAAATCCGCCGTAAAGCTTAAAATTGACTGAAAAGCCGTGTTGCAGATACTAAATGTATAAAATCCTGGACACAATCCAGATGGAGTTAAACACACTTAAGTGCCATCTATTTTAATAAGACACATTTCAGCAAGTTCTGCATTTCCATTGGAATTACTTGAGAGTACTGTAGAACTATTTACCTTGGGCAGAATTATGTTCCTGATCTCTCCTTATCTCTCACTCCCAGAAATGGAGCAATTAGTTATAGGCTGGCATGTTATGTGTTCTTAGTTCATGTGATTAGTTTGTGGTTCAGAAAGTTAAGTGAACCCAGAAATTGGTTTAATCAAGCAAAAGGTGGTTGTTAACCACAGGTGTGTTGTACAAATGCAGCTACCGTGTGAACTCTACTTATATTTTTTTAATGGAGCTCCTAATTCCATTACCACTTTGAAGTTGGAGCAAAGATTTTATTGAAGGACTATGGGATAATGCTCCTTGTCAACTGGAGAGTTAACTGTGGAGAGAACTAAGGAGTTAATCTTGGGTAGCAGAACAGATTTTGGTTCAGTTCCTACTCTTAGTCCAGAGGATTGTCTGAAAGGTCAGTTTTTTTTACAATGAGGAGTAAATTAGCAGGACATTGCTGGAGGGGTGTTAAAAAGGGTGGAAACCTGACCTCATTTCATGAATCTACCACCTTTGTGGGTTATCTCTATGTGCCTTATTATATAGTGCTCCGTACCAGTGGTATAGGAAAGTGGCTTTTTTCCTGGAATCCACAGGATTTCAACCCTGGATTGGAGGGAAGAAGTCGCTTGTTTGGGAGAACTTATTCCCACTGATGTCCTTCTGGCCTCCTTTACCTGGCCATGACAGCATGCAGAACAGAATGTCTACAAAACAGAGGAATAGCTGTGTAAAACTATCTCTGTCAAATGATCAGGCCTATTTCTGAAGATAGACCTGGCAGCCTCCACCTCAGTTTCTGCTTTGCTGTGTGTAGAACCAAACTGAGTGGGCCTTCTCTAATGCTTGCCTTCAGGCTATACTTGGGCAGAGTCTAGATAGGATCAAGGGGATCAGTGTCTGCCAGGAGCCACTGATAGCCATAAGCTGATGTAGAATGATGTCTCTTGGATAACTTGTTTGGCCTGCCCACTCATTAGAAAAAGAAGGAAGAAAAGTGAAAGAAAAATTATTTTATTTTCAGAAAGAAAAGAGGGAAGACCAATGGCTTTGGCCTGATGAGGTGTGAGAGGAACAGATTCCTTGGCTCAGACAACACATCTGATTGGTTCTGCACCGGCTGTCATTTGTTTTCTTATGGTGGGTCTAATTTACTTCATGATAAAAGGATATTACTACTGTACTTGATAGCATTAAAAAGGCCTGGCGACATGGGAACAATGTTCTAAGCAGTATTTTCCATTAATAGATTAGATTTTGTGATACTCACAAACACAGTAGGTAGTTTTCAGATAGACAGTTAACATTAAGACAGGTCAATGCTTTCCACCCTGGTGCCCTTCAGGTGTACCAGTTATCCCGGCCACCATAGCTAAGAGCTGTATTGACTGGAGATGGCTAGACTGACTATAGCTTTAAAACCAGAATTACAGATTAGCTCAACTATTTGTCTACCTATTTTACAATAAATAAAATGCTCTGAAGTCTGGGTTAAAAGTTCACTTTTTGTAGCTGTGTTAATTTCTCCATTAGTAATACAATGTTGATTTTCTTTATCTTTGAAATAATGGCTATGTCAACACCTTCCTCCAAACAAAGGTAGCATTTGCGTAACTTGATTATAGTACAAGACTAACAGCATCTCACAACTGCTTTTACTTGTAATGCCAACTGTTGCCTATGCAAGACAACAGGTTAAATTGTGAGCCTTATGTGCTCTTCAACATTGTTGGAGTGTATCAGATATGATTCACCCTGGGTTAAAATTCTACTTTTAAAGTGAATCTAGTTGATTTTTCATATGTATACACACACAAACACTTCTGTTTCAGAAAACGTGCTTAGTACCTCACTGGATTGTAGTGCAATACTAAGGTGTTAATAATTGTCATACGCTTGAAAATTATATAAGTCAGTGACCTCTCCCACCCAGTGCCACATTCGGTTCCATACAAGAGCTGTAACATTGTCTTAGAACCCAGAGCAGTTGCATAAAAATGATTTAATAAACAGTCCATTTAAATCCATACAAATGGATAACTCCAGCAGAAAATAATTCTTGTTAGAAAATAAATGAACATCTTCATTAAAATATCACTACTATAGTTAGCAATTTACCCATGTTATACTTGACATCTGGTGGTATTTGGTTGCCACACTTTGCTCATATAGGGCCCAAAGCCATATTGGAGTATGTCTAGTTTTGGCTGAACATGATCTGTGAATGTAACCATTAAGGTTTGTAATTCATGGTCCATAATTTAACATGGGTATGTATATTGTGTTAAATCATGGTTTCCTTAAACATGATATACTAAACAAACCACATTTGCATGGGTTCAAGCTGAGCAATGCAGAATGCTTTACAAATGACAGCAGTTGCTTCATGCAACACTTTACAGCAACAAATTATGTTATAAATCTCATATGATGTGAGAACTCAGCCAGTGTTTTCCTTTCATTCCACAAGTCATAATTTTTAAGAGCTTTCATTGTATGATCAGAAATGGCAAGATTTCTCATAATTGTCCCAGTCTCTTCTTTTGATAACGATTAGTGCACCTGCATAACATTTAAAAATGCAAGTATTGTGTACAAACAAGTCTTCAGTTAAAGGCTGAGGGAAACTCATTCCACAGCCAAGTATTGACTGCCTTTCTTTGGCAGTTCTCAGTTTTGTATTTTAAGAGACCTGAAAAAGTTGTAATGGAAAGGTAATCCTGCTTTTAGACATGCAAGGTTTGATTAAACCTTGTTGCTCCTGAACTCTAATGGCTATTCTAAATTTCAGTATGATTTGGTGAATGCATCCACATATTATATGTACATGAGAGGAAACTTTTTTTGTACCATGTTGTTTTGTGTAGGCTTGTTGTAGTTTGTGACAGTTGTTTAGCCCTTGAAATATTATAACTGTCCTGCATTAATGTTTAACTTGTAAAATATTAGTGAAGCTCTATGGTTTAAAACCCATGATATAATAAGAGTTTTGGCAGCCTTTTTGTTTTGTTTTGCCTTTTAATTATGTATATGAAATGGTTATCATCTCAGAGGATTAGTGGTGATTTTACTCTTTTGATTATGTGCCATCAAATCATTTTTGACTCCTAGCAACCGCATGGAGTAGGTTTTACTCTTAAATATCATGTAATTTCATATGAGAGCATTGAAATCTCATGAGACTTCAGTGTTATCACTTTAAAATTTGTGGGATTTTAGCATCCTTGCATCCCAGTGTATGAAGTTCCATGCGAGACTAGTGAGCTTTTAGGATCTTGTGTGATTTTGGCCATTTTAGAAGACTTTGAAACTATTTTAAAACAAAAGCTCCAGGGATTCTATCTGGCAGTGTCATAGATGTCTTGATGAACACTGTGTGGTTGACCCCAACATACAGTATTACAATCTCCAGTGAAACATGCAGGGGAATTGCAAGAGTTTTTGGTTTCCAGAGATTACTGGGATAATTTGAGCCTGGGGCTTTAACTTCTTATATGATGGAAGAGTAATGTCTTCTCTTCAAAAACAATGAAGTTAATCATTATTTCTTTCACTATTGAACTTACTTGATCTGGTTAATCTTGATCTTAAATCAGAATTAATTTTGATTGTCTATGACTGTTCACAGGCTGAAAATATAATTGAAACTTCTTAGTATTTTTAATTGTCTAATAAAAACTGGTTGGCAGTGATGGAAGACTGAGCATAATTTTAGATATGCCTAAAATGTGATGCTCTTCAAGATTTGATTGTCTGTGTTCAATGCATACATGTTATAGTTTTTCAGCAATGGAATGGCAAAGATTAGAATATTATGATACATATGATAGGCATCAACATAGTTTCAGAAAATTGATAAATGTTGATATTTTCTTAAAGATTAATAAGAAATAACTGTAAAAAAAACCCTAGATACAGGAGACAATGAATTGTCTGGCAACATATAAGGCATTGCCAAAATGTAAAATGTTTGGTCTGATCATCAATTGGATGGTAGGTCTTTGGAACATCCAATTAGGAATAGATTGTAAGGATGGCACTTTTTTTTTAATGGACACTTGACAGTCAAAACTAAACTGAATATTTTTAGTAAGTGTCAGGATATGAAGATTCATGACTGTACATTTAATAGTATATTGAACTATGTAGATAATTTTCAGATGCATCCAGAAATAAGCAAGAACTTGTATGGAACTTCTGAATCATTTCAGAAAAATCTTTCCACTAAAACAGTACATCATTTGGATGGGAGATCTTTGGAAGCTCCACTTAGAATAGATTATAAATATTTATATAACATTGGGACTGTACCAACTTGGAACATGAGAAAGAAGATTAGATTAGAACATTATCCTGATATAGTATTAGAGGATTTCATGCAGTCTGAAGTCAGTAGTAGCCTAGTATCTGTAAATTGAACCTGCACATTGTTAAATTGAAGGTAGTTTATCCTTGAAAATAACTTTGAGAGAGTTTTGGGTTAATTTGGTGTGTGTGTGTGTGTGTGTATACAGAAATAGAGATCAGTATGATATGAAAAAGCAATGACCTTTATTCTGTCAGCACAGGATTAATGATATTGGTGGGGGAAATTTGGGGGATGAGTTCCACAGCACCTGAATTACTGGCCTGGATTGCCCTTCCTCTGTTTTCAAAATCATGCTTGAGTCTGGAAAGCTGATTAATTCTTCAGCATTGTAGGTTGATCCGAGCTGTAAGCAAGTGACATCTTCAGTTGCTTTTTGGATCAGTTGTCTGGTCCTTGCTCTGTTCTGCATGCCTGTTAAACGGGAAATGTAGCCTGCTACAGGATGTATAGCTTTTAGGTCTTTTCTATCAGCTCACCCCCTTCCCTAGCACTGTCTTACCTGCTCTATTGGAATGATTGACTGGGGACTGGGTTAATAAACTCAAAATCCAAAACTATCTAAACATTTACAGACTACCATCTAACCTAACTGAACCCCCCCCCCCGAGTGAAAGCATGGCTGTCCTTGACAATCTACATGGTACGAAGACAATTTCTTCTTAGTCCCCCTTGAAGGAGCAGTCCTTGAGATAAACAGAAGGAAGAATGCCTAGTCATGTGGCTCTTAGCCAAGAGTGAGGTGTAGCTAACTCTCATTCTGAAAATTTTACAGTCTGACCAATTCTGTTCCCCTTCCGCAGTGATCACAAGGTATAGACAACTTAGTGCTACTTCTTGTCTTTCCCACAAATTTTCCCTGGGAGCTATTGCAGTAACCCTGAGGAATATATCAGTGGTTTGCATGACAAACAAGATTCTTCCCCCCCCGCCCCAAAACAGTGGAGAAGAAACTGTTACCATCTTCTATCCCTGGAGTAGATGCTTTGTTGCAGAACACAAAAATATACATTTTTTATTTGAAAACTGCATCTTTCTATCCTCAAACACATTTGTCTGATCCAGTCTGTGAATTTCTGCCTGAACACAATACTGCAGGGACTGTATTAGCTATCTTTCATCTTCATCCTGCTGTGAGGAAAACTTAATATCAAATCAGGAATTCCTGTTGATTGAGTCATGTTCAGTTGCATCCTCATCTTCCAGGGCTGCACTAGCAGTATCCCACCCCCCCATTCATCACTGCTAGGGTGAAGCAGTAGAACTTTCACTTCAGAGGTGGAAGAGGTACTCCAGGTCTATTTGTGCTATTTCCCTCAGCCACACCAGCAGCATCTCTGCAGTTAAAGGTTTCTTTGCGCACCTGGGGTCACCATCATGCAAGCACTTGTGGGCTGGTAAGGAAACCCCTTTTAGACCAAGCAAGAGTCCTGGTCTCATACTTGCATTCCAGCTGTGGTCTGCTATCCACAGTAGCAAAACAGGAGACTGGGTGGCTTCTCTAAGCATGCACAAAGGGCTTTCTCCCTTGAACAAGAAAATAATGATAGTATTTTATAGACTCAATGGCTTTGTGCCTTTAAGTCAGTGTTAACTCCTGGTGGCTGCCTGGACAAGTCCCTGCAGTTTTCTTGGCAACATTTTTGGAAGTGGTTTGCCCTTGCCTGCTTCCTAGGGCTGAGAGAGAGTGAGTGGCCCAGGGTCACCTGGCTGGCTTTGTGCCTAAGGCAGGACTAGAATTCGGTTTCCTGGTTTCTAGACTGGTGCTTTAAAC